GGGCAGCAAAGCGAAGTTTTGAAGCTCACAGGTCTAAGGAGAAATTAATAAAATGCAGTGGGGAAATTAAGTTGAACAAAAGTGCAATGAGCCATAGTTACACCAATTAATATAACAGGTTTTGATATGTATATAACTGGGTTGCTGAAGAATTAAAATTAAATCCCAGATTTTTAAATTAGTGTTCGGTATATAACAAAACACCAAGCAGAAACATGCAGAAAACTCGTAGTTCTTAAAGTAGTGTTCTTGGATGAATACCTTTCTCATTCTTATGCATCACCATTTTTTTTTCTCCATTAAACTATGCTTTTCCTTTTTTCAGAGAGAGATTTATTTTGCTATAGGGCGTATGTGCTCACCAGAGAGACAGAGAAACAGAAAGTGAGAAATCCCCCCTTGAGGGGATGGCCATGTTGCAATCCCTTCTTTAGTCTTTTGAGATCTTGGATACCCATGCGCACACACCCAGCTCGAGTTTAAAGCCGCTGGATCTGGGACTCGAATCACAGTCAACTACATGGGAGTCTTGTGAAGTAACCATTACACCATCTTCTGATCCGAAACTACGCTTTAAATAACATGCTGAAGTCTTAAGCTTTGCTTGATTCTCCTCTACATTTTTTTCTGCCAATTTCAAAACCATTAGACTTTCTTGCAGCATCAACTGTGGAAAGGCTTACTTTTCAGTAGCATAGTCTACAACTTTACAGAAAGCAATGAAGATGAGCTTGCTTAATGTCCTGATGAACTAGCAGGTAAGAGGTGACACAGGTGAGTATCAGGATCAAAGGCTGCCTGTCACAGAGACCAAGGTTCCACAGAAATAACTTGTCTCCTATAAACCTCAGTGTCCTCTGCTGCACACATTAAACAGAGTATTTGAAAATTTCGTGGCACAATGTCTGGCTGAGATATCTCTTAAACACATGGAAATGTTAACAGTGAAAACAGATCCTAACTTGTAGACATGTTTTGATTTCAAAATTGCTTGTTGGGAGACTTAAACATAGATTTCCACCAAATATATGTGCATGCGAGGTGTGTGTGTGTGTGTGTGTGTGTGTAGTGGTTGTAATAGGTGGGTTTCTAGTCAAGTCTTCAAAAATTTAATTTGCTGGGACCAGCAATTAGTGTAATGGCTGTGTCGCTGGACTCCCATGTAGTTGACTGCGGTTTGTGTCCGAGATGTGGTCGCTTAACACTCACGCTGGGCATGTGTGTGTGTGTGTGTGTGTGTGTGTGTGTGCCCAAGATCCCGAGAGGAAAATGGAGGGGAAGGGATTGTGGCGTGGCCATACCCCTAGGGGGTGATTTCTCGCTTTCTGTCTCTCTGTCTCTTTCTGTCTGGTGAGTGCATGAGCCCTATAGCAAAAACCTCTCAAAAAAAAATTAATTTGCTTTCACTTTATTTCAGTTGAGAATGATCTTAATCATACTCTGTCTAGAGCGATCAACTGGTCTTGGTTTGCCCAGGACTTTTCTGGTTTTTGGCACTGATGGTCTCTCATCCTGTGAAACTCTTTAGCCTCAGACAAATCTAACAAGGATTCCTTCATCTGGAACCTAATTTTGATTCACTCATTCCTTTATTTTTTCCTACAGTGCTGGGAACATGTAAGCTGTGGAGACACGTCAAATTGGATACTGTCCTTACATGTATCCTTACTTATAACAAACTTGGAACTTAGTGAGGGAGAAAGGCAAATGAAGGAGAAAGACCTCCAGCCCTAAGCCTATTGCTAACGGTAGAGGTTTGTGCAGAACACAGGGAAACACAGCAGAGAGATACCTCAGATAACTCAGAGGAGGTGACCACTGGCCTTGATCTTGGACCTCCTGCTTAATTCTTTTGGAAATGTTTCATTTCTGAGCTTAGTATTATTTAAATATATGTATTAAAATGCCACCTTTTGGGGTCAGCAGGTGGTGTGGTGGTTAAAGTGCTGGACTTGCACATGGCTAATTGAGGTTTGAGTCCTGGATCTGGAGGCTTGAAACTCATACTGGGTACATGTGCATGCATGCCCAGGATCCTGAGAGGAGAATGGAGCAGAAGGGATTGTAATGCGGCCATCCTCCTACAGAGGTGATTTCTCACTTTCTCTCTCTGTATCTCTCTGGTGAGGGCACAGATAGTTATAGTCTCATGGTTTATGGGAGTTCTTGCCACTAAGCTAAAAATCTCCTTTTATACATGCTGTATGCTTGCTTTTTCACTGGAAATTCATCTCACAAAGGAAATGAGTGGAATAACATGTTAAAATGAAAACAAGACCGAGGTTATCATTAATAATATTGTTCTAGCTATAGTACCTTAGTGGTTGCCCCAGCATTAGTGAATTTAAAATGTTATCAAAGAAATGGCACACTATAGTTTTGTCCTTTAATAACATTGAAAGAATTCCTGAACATGCCTTTATCATAACAGCCAAGGCTTCAGCAAGAAGATGTTACACACAGACTGCTTATTCAGCCTAAAGCTCTAGAGCAACATTCACCAACTAACAGCATGAATATTCAGTTTTTGGCCTGAGGAAAAGGCAGACTTTTCATAGAGCCTGCAGGTGAGCAGGAGCTTATCCCCAGACAGATCATAAATTCTACGGGGGCAGGGGCCATGCTGACATGGTATACGACTATGTTCCTAGTATCTGAGTCATCACTCAACAAAATGGTTGACCGCGCCAAGGGGGCGGCCAGCGGGTCCTGCGCCCCCCGCCCCCCTTGCGCGGCCTCCCTGGGCCCCGCGCCAAGGCTGCAGCCGGCGGCTGGCCCTGTG